TTTTGAAGGGATTTAGAGCTATTTTAAAAAAAATATCGCCATCAGTCATAAAAGACTACAAGGCAGGTTAAAGAGCATCCACGCCACTCGTCTTTGAAGGCCGAAAAAAATATCTTAAATCCATCTTTTGCCTCCAAAATCCCCTCAGCGGCATGTCTCTAGGATCCTTCTATCCAGAATTGGGCAATTGAGTGTAGGAATTTGCACAACTGTCTACATCCCCAAAGGGCCCGCCAAGCCCGAGGCCGAACGTACACAGCTCAGGGAAAACTCGTTTTCAACCGAATCCAGTTACGCTGCCAGGTTTATTTTCAGGAGCGATGCAAATGCAAAGTCTTTCAAACGTTATCAAATTCCTACACTCCCCGTAGTAGTCGGGAGTACTTGAACTGATTCCATGGTAACTGTCGTCCAATTAGAGGGAACGGTGTCCATCAAGGTTGATGAATGCTTGAACGGATTCAAAAATTGAGTCAGAATATCGTACAAAAATGACAATTTGGCACGGTTGGATTTGAAGTCCGTTGAAATATTGCCCAATTCTGGATAGAAGGATCCTAGAGACCTGCCGCTGAGGGGATTTGACCCTGATTTCATGTTGAAACTGTACTGAATATTTTCATCGAGCTGGACGGTGAGGACGTGAGGAAGGCGAGACTATTTTCGATGCAAAATCGTCTTAAAATGATAACTAGCAAGCTTGAAACTTCACAAATACAAAATCCTAGTTCAATTCTTCAATGAGAAAGCTTTTGGTATTTCTTATTGATAGTTTTTGATATTTTTTGCATAGTTTTGTTATCGGCGAAGTATCCGCCATTTTGGATTCTTGAGAACATTTTCAGTTCGAGAGAGACAGCAAACTAATAGATATGGCTTCCTGTGGTTCGAAAGAGACTGGAAACTGCGACAATAGATAGAAGATAGAATAGGTAGAACTATAGCTGGCTAGCCACAGCTAGCCCGCTAACAAGTTTGGTGCCTGTACGCCAAAATGCACATAAAGGCGATTTTTGGTCGATAAGCCACCCCACTATCACTCTCATTAGTGCGTGACAAGGTAGAAAGCTGAAGAACTGCGAATAAATTTACGAAGACTAGCATTTTTAACATTTTAAACTGATGTTTTTATCTGTTTATTTCCGTTTTAAAACCGATCATATAGCCGATTAAGCAAAGGTCAAACAATATAACTCGAGAACCAACCCGGCGCTAGAACGGGTTGAGAAACCAAGAAAATTTTTAGTATGTACTGGGCGTCCAATTAACCCGCTCTATCTGGTTGGTCAACCCGTTAGATCTCAACCCGTGCGACACATACCGATTGACAACAATCCCGCTAGAACGGGTTGAGAAACAAAAAAATCTTGTATGAGTACATAGTCGATTGACAAAAGGTTGTCGTCGACCGGGTTCACGAAATGCGACTAGCCCGTACTGCCTTCTGGTAAAAAAATCATAGAGCTGGCAATTTAGAGATGTGAACGCCTTTGTGATTGGAAGAACTGACACATAATGTGTGACAAAAATTTCCAAATCACAGGAATTTAATTATGATGCATGTGATGTTGATTTTTGCATGTCACATTGTTTTCCATGTCATGGTGGGGAATGCAACGTTGAATATTACTTATCTACAAAAATGTTGCTGAAGGATAATTTCTCAAGAATAAACAACGTTCAATGTTTGTTTTTCCAGTTCTTAAAAAAATAAAAGGGCAAAACAAATTGACACTATACTAGATGTTGTTATGCCAGTTCATTCATTTTTACCCAGAAACCTGTTCGGGTCGGTCGCGTGCTACGAAGTCCGGTAAACGACAAACTTTTGTCAATCAACTATATACTGGGCGACCAACCCGCTCTACCTGGTTGATCAAAACCCGTTAGGCGAACCCAACCCACTACAACCGATTGACAATCAAATTCGCTAGTGAGGATTCCATTTTTGCCATTTTTGTTGTGCTATAGGATTGGGTATCCCTTGCAGCCGAAAAGGATTTTTTTGAAAACACAGTGTMCCTAGGAAATGAAGAMGTTTTGTACATAATTGARCATTACATCAAATCTTTTCTAGAAGCGGCGACAATATTGCTCATTAATCATAAAGTAATCATCCAATCCAGTGGTTTTATTACGGTCACCTGATGAACACGAAACAATGGCTTCATTTCGAGACTGGAGTTTTATCTTTTGTTGAAAACTTCAGCATTGAAATGAAGCCATTGTTTCGTGTTCATCCAAGCGAATGTGGGATTGGTCTATTGAGTAAATTTGCAGGCTGTTTACACGCGCGATAAAATCGCTGCAAAAGTTGAAGCTTATCTCGCTCGACAAAATTGCTACGTAAACAGGCCTTTATAACACTGACTAAATTCACAGTCCAATGAAAGAACTACTCGATGTAKGTTGACTGTGATGTATTCAATACATAAAGACCGCACAAAATATGGCATTCGAGTGTACCATGGCGTATTAGTATGCTATCTACTTTGCGTTTTTTTATTTTTTTGCTTTGTTTTTTTTTGTTTTTGTTTTTTTTGCAGTGCAGTATAGTTTCCTTATGCGAATATTTTGGGTCGATTTAGTGTTATCGTCCCGAGCGCGTTTTGCCAGAAATTGCTTGCGCGTATTTCATAGCTAGGTTCAATAAAACCACTATTTTAAAAAAAAGTTGTCGGATAAACTGGCGAACAACAATTGTAGAACGATGATTGCACGACCGAAAAGAGCTCTTTTTTGAAAATAACAAACGAATTATACCGTATGATAGTCTGCGGTAAACATGAAGTCCATTTTAGTCTCCACTGATTTTCGTTCAACATGAACTCAACAAGTGAAATTTTACATGACAAACAACGTAACCATAATCCCTTTCGGTCATGCAATCTTCCTTTGGCAGTCGCCGGTTGCCATTCTTTCCGACAACGTTTTTTGAAATAGGTGTATGCTCATTAAAGGAACAGATGAAACGATTTGCAAGTTTCCAATGTACATATTATAATATTGTAATAAAAAATGTTTTTTTGTCCCCAGTGTCTATTGCTTATTCACCCAACATGGAAAGCTATAGTAAGACGGGGCTATATACATACAACAAGGTACATTGTCGCGTTCAACAGCGTATTTCAATGTTAGTCAGTCCATTCATATCGTAAACTATGCATTTGCATATCGTAAACTATGCATTTGCATCAAAGCGAGACAACGTTGAGCATACAAGGATAGATACCTGTGAATGATTGTCTGTAGGTGTGAAATGTTTCTATCATTGCACGCTCAACGTTTGTCTCGCTTCGATGTAAAGGCACGGCGCAGGAAAACGTGAAGGAGACTATTGTATTCATTGCGTGAAGTTCGGCGTATAACCTGGCGAGTAATCGTTGTCATGTATAAATCACAGAATACACAAGCAGAAATCGATAAGAAAATTACATAATTGTTGGTGTGATTAGTCTATGCATACTCAGCGTGGTAGTGATTGCGAAAATCGACGGTTTTAGGGTGAAGTCAAAAAAACCCGTGAAACAGATATCGCACTAATACCCGTTAGTAAACAATAATTACACTTTGATAGTTAAATTTTGTTTCACGGGTTTAATGACTTCACTCTTTTTCAATATTAAATCAATAAATCGCCAAACTTCATTTCCCATGTTTCTACCTTGTAAGCTGTGTACACGCGCATAATTGTCGGGTTCAAGAATGTTTATCATCGAAGTTAAAACGGAAAGGTAGCATGTGCAATATGTAATATAGCATTGTGTGTGTACTATTGTTTCATTCATCACTTCCCTTACATGAGAAATGGTAAATGCTAAGACAAATATGATTTAAAATTAATGTCGCTTTCTGTCTTAGCTTCGATGAATTCCGCTTCTTAAACCTGACAATGTTGTTTCAATATCCCGGTTAAGTTGGCGATGGTTTTGCACGAAAGCKAGGCAGAATCGAGTAACAACAAGAAAAAAAATCTTATCTTTCTACATTGTGACTTGGCAAACATGTTGCCTTGCCTTGCTTTCGTTTTAATCGCGAATAATGTTATTAGGTTTAGCTGCACGTGTCCGCATTAACTGAAAAACAAAGAGCTATTTATTAGCCATGTAGCAGGCTGAACGTATMCTWRCMTAGCCGTTGTTAGATGTTATGCACTCTCAATAAACTTCTGGAGTTAAATAATAAAAAATAACCTAAAAGTCTGTTTATTCTGGYGAGTCTTCGTTACTGGAGGTAGGTTCTTCTTGGTTTTCTTCAGTGTTCAGACTTCTTTCGTGAAGCATGACATATTCGCGCGAACTAAAACCAAACTTGAGGACGTCCTTRAAGAAATATTTTTGTTTTCGTTTACTGTTTTGAGTATTTAGTAAGGGTCAACCTGGGGTCAACGAGGTCGACTATGGCCTGAGTCTATTCTGCCTTCACTAGTTTGAAATTTCATTGTTATTGATTTGCATGTTTGTATTTGTTGTTATTACTATAGAGTGTCTTACCCGTTCCTTYAATTCATAATATCTTCGTGGTTCAATCCTTTCGTTGTTCAGGTATGTCCCATTGGCAGACTCTAAGTCAATAATATATGGTCTGAAAAATAATGGACGCATGTTTAATAAAAACTCAACAGTTGTTTTCAAGACAAATAGGCCTAATCTGTCCACRTTACATGAAAAGGAAGTTTTGAAATTTAGATATGATTTTGTGGACCGCGTAGCACTAGGAAATACATGCATAAAATACAGTAAAAACCCGCGTATAAGAACCTAGGTTTTTTTGATGTTAGCCTAAACAGGTTCTTATATAAATGGTATTTAGTGTAAAATTACTGGAAAAGAATCGCTTATGAGTTTAAAAGAACGACTTTTAAATGTTGAATAGAAACTTGGAAAATAATTTTTTTCTTAAAAGATCGGTAGAAACTGAARAATCAGTGTGAACTCGTTCAAATGCTAAGCTGACTCAATGAAAACYKAGCARAAAACAGACAACTTCTAGCAATTCGCGACACAAAATCCTTACTTTTGCATAACTACTCGCTTGCTAAAATASAACGAAAAATTATAATTCTATACTGAGGGACATCCAATTAGAAAAAGTCTACATCAAGGCGTGGATACAAAGAACAATCAGAAAATTTGAGAGTAATTGTGCATGGAAGTAAACAGGGGCGGATTTAGAATAGTTCATTTAGTTTCCGGAAACCAGTCAGGTTTTTCCCCCCAAAAAAGAAATAAAAAACGATACTTCAAATAGAACTGTACAAACGAAAATAATTAGATCCCTGCTAGAGCTGTGAACCAGTGCAAAATGACGTAGTGGTTCGCACAGGTATCCTGACTGATTTCCGCGATCAAAGATGTTCACACAGAAAACCCTAATGCTGATTTTAGCCCATTAGAATCGAGCTTTGTTCTCTGTGAGGGAGGGGTCAGAGCTAACAGAAACTACTTGGAAACAAATAGAGTCAAGCTATCCTTGAAATAGTAGTGCTAGATAATTATTCTCTTCTACATTGCAATTGGAGCTCCGCTAGAGTACAAACATTAATGAACAAAATAGTGTTAATTAAACAATAGAAAACAATAGAATTAGCATAATTTAGCAGTATTTAGTGGTATTTATGTTGCACAGTTTTAGTGTTTGTACTCTATAAGTTGAGTAAGTTGTTACCTAAGKTTTATATTAAAGGTTTTTGTCTTACGTTAAAAAAAAAGATTGACGGCCATTTTTGGGTCAGGAGAAGCCGAGCCGATGATGAGGCCATAGTCACATTCAGTACACGTTTGCTTAATGGTACCATAGTYAATCGATTAAGTTTGATGGTACACGAGACGATTTTTTGCCATACAGTTTTAAGGGTAAATTCGTCTAAAAATAATCCTTTCACGTATCGTCGATCGAGTATTGATCGTTTTCAACCATTCCCATGAGATTCAAAAGATAAACGACCATGTTGGAGGAATGAACAATAGATACTAACTGGAAATTCTTTGTTAAAGTTCCTCCAACATGGCCRCTGTGACGTAACCTGAAAACGAAAAATTGCGCGACAAATCTATTGTTGAGGAAAAATTTTAAGAATTGAGGAAGTAGATTAGAAATCATCACAAGAGGTTCTCACAGAAGTCTCAGAAGACGGTCTACATTTAGGGTTTACTTACTTGACCTTTCGTCCGATGGTTCCATCAGTTCTTTCATAGTCCGCCAGTTTATATTGTAATACAGCGTGCTGTTTCGAACAAGAGGGATGGTCGATTGGTATATCAGCTATCTACAGAAAGAACATTGATATTTGTACAAATACCTCCAAAACCAAAGAACAGACCAACAGCAAGTAAACAACTAAAAACAGCACACAGAAATACAATGAAACACTCCACAAGTACAAAATGTAGAATGAATCTAGTATTATCACAGGCATCCCAAGCAGAGCATTTGATTCAAAATTGTTTTTTTTTTAATAAAATACATTCTACCTTAATCTCATGTGTTGCTGATGTTAGTTAACATTGCTGTGTATGATTTTGAAGGAATTTAAATCATACATAGCAATGTTAAATAACATCAGCAACACATGAGAAAAAAAAACAATTTTGAATCAAATGCTCTGCTTGRGTTGCCTGTGGTATTATTGCTAGCATTCACTAACATTATTACAATTCCRATTGTCTCTAACACCTCAGATTATTGATGAAAAATGCTCTCAATTCCCCTTTCCGAATTCGTTTACATTATCTATAGACAGTTCGACTCGTCCCAGGTGTAAATCAATTCACTATTGATATGTAAGGAAATGCAACAATATGCAGAAATTATGATCATTTTGACTCATATTCGAAGTATGAAATATATCAGAAATTATGAGATATCATCGCAAAATTTTTTTGGAAGTTGCTAGGAAGCATTACTTTCTGATAAAAATATTGGCGATAGTATCCCATAATTTCTGATATATTTTATATATACTTAGAATATGAGTCAAAATGATCATAATTAAAGTGCACATGACACCATCAGAAATTCATTCTCATCCAAAAGAGAAAAGGCTGCTAAGTTCATCTGTGAAGAAGGAAATTGATTTTAAATTGTATTTTGTAAGTTATAGGCAATTGAAACTTGGAAAATGCAAATGAAGTGACGTCTACTAAGGAATGATTTAATATACAAAATCATGAAAGAGAACGTTATTCTTTTTGTTACATTGGAAAACGCATTTTCAGCTCTCAATTATTATTATGATTGATGATTTGTGCTCTTCAACCAAGAATAGCATAGCGCAAACAATGTAAAAAGTCTGGATCAATTCCTTAGTTGACGTCACTTCATTTGCATTTTCAATTTTCAAATGTCTATAACTCAGAACAAAATACAATTCAAAATCTATTTCTTTCTTCACAGAAGTACTTGGCAGCATGTTACCTTTCGGATAAAAGTGTTTTTCTAAAAGGTGTCATGTGCACTTTAAGCATATTCAGCTATAATATTAAGTATTAAGTTATCTATATTTACATGTCTTTGTCTTCCTAGTAAAAATGCGCTCTGTCGGTGGATGTAAAGCACCTCTGCAAGAAAAAAAAACAGACTATAGTAAATATGTTGATAAACTGTGCCTGAACCAGGGGTGGGTGGGGTTAGTGATCAATGCTAATTGTTTATTTTAAGTCCTGAAAACAGAGAATGATTTCTAACCTCTCAAACTCTAAAGAGAAAAGCTTAATTTCTATCACTGGTGTGCTGATTTAAAAAATTAGTCTGCTCGCAGAATTATAAATATGAAAAGAATGAAATTAATATTAGTAAAATTGATATTAAACTTAATATCAAAATATTATTGCTTAGATGTTTTTATTTATTTGTATACTGAATAATGTATTTGTATACTGAATAATGCATACTGCATTGTGCATTCCAAGACTGCAWKSMATTGTTGATTTTAAAATTGAATTAACATTTAAGTCCATCAAAATAATAGTTGAGTTTCGCGATCTCTTTTACGCTGTGTTAGCCTCAATTGTGTGCTAAAATATACACGGAAATGTAGATAAAACTCGTGAGATTTCAAACTATTCTCATTGTCTTCTATACTCACAGATCTCTTGCATTTGCACGGGCTGTTGTGAATAAAAGAATTTATTACATGGTTTTGAGGCTAACACAGCGTCAAATAGATCGCTAAAAGGGTTTATTATCACGAATACTAACTTAATGCTTCTTCTCCTTTGAAGGGATACAAACGCCATCTTGTTTTAGGTTTTCTTGCCTCAGGTGGTTCGTTATATTTGATAACAACACCCTATAATGACAAAAAATTTCATTAGATGGTTACATAAGAAAATCCACTTAAAGACATATTATGTACTTAACATGAAATGTATTCTATAAATCAATGAAGCAATGATCAATACTTGTCAAAAAGAAGGTGTAGTTGTTCATTTCCTGAGCCAGAGATACTACAGGAAGTAAAGTTTACAGTCCGACAATGAGGACTGAATGKGATTTCAAGTCTTCAACTTGAAAGTTCAAGGACTTCTCATACTTATTAATTAATTCAGGATTCAAATACATATAACAGAAATATGTTGATTTATTGCATCTAAGGTTTTCAGTTTTCTTAATTTTGAATACATGAAGCACTGTTTGTTGTTCTGCAATTCCGGAACGGCTTTCTGAAACAAAAGCTATTCAAATTGTCTTTCTCTGCTATTCATGTCATTCCTAATGAGCCTAATTCATAAGATTTATAAGTATGTTATCTTCCGAGGAATCACATCAGAAACTCGGTGGTGTAATGGTATAAGACGGCAMATATGGACTTGACCTACAGTACATGATTGTACAGTACATGTATGTTGCAAGTGTGACTATATATAGTTCCTGGGAGACTACAGTAATTATAAGTGTTTGTAATGTATATACAGAGTTCCTGGGTGACTACAGTACCTTGTAAGTGTTTGTATATTCAGTCAGTTTTCCTGACAGACCAAAGTTTGGTTCCTCAGCTCCAGCAGCATCAGTGTTGTTTTCCTGAGCATCAACAGACTGACCATATCTGAACAGAAGAAGTCAAATCCAAATACTTAAATACTATATGGGATTGCAATGATTAGAGGTCCATGTGCATCCAAGAACCTTTGCGTGAGTTTTTCACATATGAAAATTTGCCATTTTTAATTTTTGAACCAATCAGAAAGCAACTTTCAAAAAAAGCAAAACAAAAGAAACGATCACAAAGGTTCATGGGTGCATGTGGGCCTTTAAAGGGAAACAGTTTGCACAGTGAGTCATCCACAGTTAAGACATTTTGGTTCAAGATAAAAGAACATAATTGGTTTAAGTCAATGACACCGACAATTAAAATCAATCAATGTCAAATTAAGACAACTAGCACATGATCTTTCTCCATGATTAATAAAGTCGCACAGGTTTCCTGAAATTTGAACAGTGACAAACGATGATGAATTTTCATAGAAGCTACAACATGTAGTATCCTGTTAACTGAAAAAAATACAATCATGTATTATGGGAAAATAGTGGTGGTGGCCGTATCTTGCCCACAACAAATGTTCAATTGTCATAACATTACTATCAACCTGCTCATCTATTTCCACACATCATTTTATCATATGATACACTGTAGCTAATCAATTTAGAGTAAGTTTGGTTACATGACCACTGGTGTGTTTTTTAATTTCCTTTATTACTATAATACAATGTACCTGGAGGTGTCATCTGGTTCTTCTTCTTCTCTTTGTCTTCTGCGATCTATAGAAACCAAATAGTAATTTATGCAGTAAAACATTGTGCCATTTAAAACTGGAAAATGCCATCAGAAAGTGGAAAATTTCGTTGTTTACTTTGACCTTAGATATCATATCTGGATTTTGCATATCATATCGGTCCTGAGATTAGCCAATCACAATTGACTTTAGTCATATGGTTTTTGGCTGAGATATCATATCTGTCTGTTGTCCAATCAACAGCAGGCTATTATTTACATGTCAGTTACATGTAGATATGATATTCTACTTCCAGCCAATAACTGTAGTACTTTGATGAATTGGCTTTCTATAAAGGAATCTGTCATTAACAAGATCAAGGAGCAACCCTGATCCAAAACACAACACAAGGTGTATTTTAACAACCGATTTTCATTGGAAACAGTGACATTGAATAACGTTTTAGCTGCCTTGATTACTTAGGAGTTTGATTTGTTTTATTCAACAGGGAAATAGAATTCTGAATAGTTTTGCTAATCTAATGGCAATATTATAGTCAAAGCGGTGCTTGTTTTAGTAGTCACTACATTAGTGCCTTTTACTTCGAAGCTCACTTCATTATTCTATTAGTGACAAATTCATTTTCAACTTCAAATGCGTGATAAACTGTCAACACCTTGTGTTGTGTTTTGGATCAGGGTTGCTCCTTGATCTTGTTAATCACAGATTCCTTTATAGAAAGCCAATTCATCAAAGTACTACAGTTATTGGCTGGAAGTAGGATATCATATCTACATGTAACTGACATGTAAATAATAGGCTGCTGTTGATTGGACAACAGACAGATATGATATCTCAGCCAAAAACCATATGACTAAAGTCAATTGTGATTGGTTAATCTCAGGATATGATATGCAAAATCCAGATATGATATCTAAGGTCAAAGTAAACAACGAAATTTTCCACTTTCTGATGGCATTTTCCAGTTTTAAATGGCACAATGTTGTAAGTATCCATAGTATTGACTGCTGCTTGACAAAAGATGTACGTAGAAATTTCTGCTCTTTACTCATTGAACACTATAGTATTTGTAGAGCTAGGAAACAACAGCAAAAAAGGCTTGTTGCATACTACTTTTTATGAGAAACACAACCAAATAGAGAGTTTTAGATTCATGTTTACTGCAAACACCAAACATCTAATTGCCTTTTATGCTTTTTCTCAAAATTTTAAACGAATGTAAAAACGCTTTGAAAGGAATGGTGATACACTTATGCATGAAAAGTGATCTATTTTTATATACAATTGCGGAAGAACGGTGTGTTAATACAGAAAAACAGTGATCAGTTTTGATGCTTGGCGTTTGCCGTAAACGTGTATCTAAAACTCTCTATACCCTGCATTGACGGTCAACAAACAGACAAGCAAGCTGTCAGTGACATGATCAATGTCAATATGTTGTTCATTCAATGGA